AAAGAAAGGGGGATAAAGGATCCCCCTATCTCAATCCTCTTTTAGCTGGGAAGAAATCTCTAGCAGCCCCATTAATCAAAATTGAATAATGCACCGAGTCCACGCAACCCTTTATCTACTTTCTCCACCTTTCTCCGAAACCAAATTTTTCCATAACTTCAAGAAGGAAAGACTAGTCCACCAAATTGTAAGCCTTCTCTAAGTCCAATTTACAAACAAAGTCTTTCCCTCTTTTTTTTTCTTTTCTTTTCAGCTACGCATTCATTTGCCACCAAGGTTTGGTCAATAATTTGCCTTCCCTCCACAAAGGCACCTTGAACTTGTGAGATTATCGTGGGCAGTACCCTTTTTAGCCTACTTGAAAGGACTTTTGCAATTATTTTGTATAAGCTACCCACTAAATTAATTGTTCTAAAATCCCTTGGGTTTTGGCTCCCTTTTTCTTAGGCACTAACACAATGAATGTGGCTAGACCTGGCAATTGGGTTGGGTGGGTCGGGTTCGGGTTCGGGTTGGGTCAAGACACTTTGGGTTGATTTCAGGTTGGGTTTGGGTTGCCAAATGCTAGACCCTAACCCTAAATGTTCGGGTTAGGGTTGACCCATGGGTCAATTCAGGTCATCCCAAAAAATAATTAAAATTTAAAAAATAAATAATAAATGCATGAAAAATGCCAAAATTAAAGGAATTAACCTTAAAATTCCAAATATAAAATGAAAAAACTTGAACATTTAACAATATAAAGAGTAAACAATGAAGAGTAAAGACTAAATAGTAAAAATTTAAGAGTGGAAATAGTCCCAATTAGACCTAACAATCGGGTCAATGGGTTGACCCATGACCCAACCCAACCCAACCTAGTTTTTTCCGGGTTGGGTCGGGTTGGGTCATTCTCAAATTCAGGTAGCTCAATATGAGACCCCAACTCTATTTTTTCAGGTTGGATTGGGTCGGGTTCGCGGGTTGGATCAACTTTTTGCCAGGTCTAAATGTGGCATTTGTTCTTGGTGAAACCTCCCCTTTTTGGTAAAACTCATCAAACACTTCCTTCAGGTCCTTGTCTAGAAACTGCCAACACTCTTGAAAAAATGCCATGGTTAAACCATCTAGCCCAGGGGCTTTTGATCTTTCCATGGAGAAGACAGCCTCTTTGATTTTCTCAATACTAAAATTTTCTTCCAAGGCCCTAGATTGGACATCAGTCACCCTATCCCACTCCAATTCAGGTAGGTCTTGCCTATTCCCTTCCATTCTGGAGAATATGCCCTTAAAATGATCAAGAAAGACCTTGACTATCTCCTCCTCCCTCCTGACCTCAATCCCATCCACTTCCACAGTTGTTACGAGGCTTTTGCTTCTCCTCCCACTTGCTAGAGAGTGAAAAAAATCTTGTGTTTCTGTCTCCTTTCTGAAGCCACTTACATCTAGACTTTTGTCTCCAAGAAATTTCTTCCTTCCTTAAAATCTCTTCTAGCTCTACCTTTAGCTTCCACCACTCTTCTCTTTCCTCACTAAAGTTTCTTTGTGCTTCCTTTCTGTCTAGCTTCTCAATCCTAGCAGAAATTCTTTCTTGAGCCTCTTCAATTCTTCTAAAGTGATCCTTATTCTAATCTTCAATTTTCCCCTTCAGAGCTTTCAAAGTCTTCATAAAGCTGATCCCCTTTTTTCTGTTTCTTGGTCTTCCCTCTTCCCACCAATCTTTTACTTAGTTAGAGAAGAAAACGGAAACATCCTAGCATTGTATTCAGGTCCTGTTCAGCAAGGTGATGTGGTGAGATCAGAACTGTTGGCAATAGTTTATGTGGTGGAGAAGGCTAAAGAAATGGGGATTGAGAGACTTTTTTTTTGATAAGTGCGATTGAGAGACTACTCATTGAAGGGGATTCAAAAATAGTTGTGGGCTGGCTGAAAAAGGATGAAGGGGTAATTTGGCAGCTAAGGAATGAATTCAGGTGCTTCAAACAGCTTCCTAGAGATATGTTCATCCAAATAAGATGGATTAGAAGATCTGCAAACAGCATGACAGATGGCCTAGCTAAACAAGGAATTTAGAGACGATCTATGTCTTGGGTGCATTTGTAAATTTGGGATGGCTTTTTGGGTTTGCTGTTTTTTTCACACCCACTTGCTGTATCATTCACTCTAAATTAATGAATCAATTTTTCGGTTGCTGATAAAAAAAATGGTACAAATGCGTACAAAATATTACAAAATACAAGGTTTTGCACTCTACATATTTGTATTTGTACTCTTTCCAAACTGAGCATAAAGTTCCCTCCAAATAGTAGCCCCAAGTACATTATCGTCCAATCCCCTCTCATGCGTCCTAATATTTAAGTATATCTCTCTGCTACTTCCTCCAAGTTAATTCATGCTACACAACTTCCATTGAGGTTTACCTTCAAACTTGTTAATCTTCTTGAAGCTCTATCACCTATTGCCCTTAAGAAAACCAAACAGATTTTTCTCTTTATCTCTGAGTGCTCTTCCAATGCCCAAGGGCCCCATGTTGCCTATGGGGCATCCGTTGAAGTTCAGCTTCATAGCTTTATCTTTTTTTGATGAATAACTATAAAGGTTTTATTCACTTCAAATGAAAGAATATATTTATATACAATATGCCAAGCATATCTTGTGTATAAACTGTCCACACTTCTATCTGATTAGTTTTTAAGCTTACTCAAATTTCAGTTGAGCCTATACAATTTTCCCATGTTCATCCCTTGTTTGACTGGTATCAGCTATCCCATTTGCTGATCGTATGGATCCATTGAAAGTTGGATACCATCTATTCAACCAGCTGCTTGCTTTCCCTCGTGACATGTTCATACTTACAAACTCCTGTATTGTTGTTCTTCAGCCACCCCACTGTTGTTATTGATTCACTTTTCTCTAGTATATTCTCCAAGTGCCTTGGCCACTTTCAGCCTTTATTATATTCCTCTCATTTCAGCTATAAAAAATCAGCGTGACCTATTGGCCAAGAATGTAATGCTATTCGGGCCCTGGGTTTCCTAGAGAACAGCGATCATAGTTCAACTTTATGTGATTGTTACTTGGTAGCTTGAATATTGGTTGAGGAGTTTCCCTCGCTGTTGATGGTGCAGCAATTCAAGACCAATCTCTGAGGATATCATTTGTGGAGAATAGTTCAAACCCAATGAATCATTTAACTGCAATACTTTCTATTGAATATTCTTTATAGCATATCTTGTCTTGGAATATTCTTGAGTTTCTTTCCTGAGGTCCTCCCAAACTATCCATACTAAAGCTGTTTTTGTGCTCCTCCACAATGTCTTCCCTGTTCTAGTTGGCAAAGTGATAAAAGCGCACGCGCGCACGTGCGCGGTGGGGGGGGATTAGCAAGTGGTGAGTAGCTTCCCTTTGCATTACACAAAAACATTTGTTAGGAGTAAGGCACCTATTGATGTTCTTTTTCGGCAAATTATCATGGCATTGATTTTCCTACTGTAGACCTCCCAACAGAAAGCCCTAATCATATGTGGCACCTCCAGTCCAAATTTCTTTTACCAGAAAAGGCTGTATGAACAGGGAGACAAGGAAGGACATAAAGAAGCACACATGTGAAAATACCAGAAGGGTTGGCTGTCCAAATTCTGCATTTTGCTTTAGACATCAAGAATATACTTGCTAGGGTGTCCGGCAAATTCAAGGCTGTAGACACTTTAGAATCTCCAAGTTTTCTATGAAAACAAAATCTTCAATTAATATCAAGATTTGGCAATAGCAAACTGGTTCATAGGTTTGGCCCTATGGGAGGACAGGAAAAGAGGGTTGGGAAGCACTCCTTTGGTCTCTGTCCCACCCAAAGATCTTCCTGAAACTCTATTCCCCAAAGACACATCAAAATGAATAAAGGCAATGAGCACTGGAGGGATTAGCAGTTCATATACGGTTGTCTGAACTAAATGGGTCAAGTCATCAAGGAAAACTCCATCCAATGACTTGAGGAGCAGCATAATGGTATCAAAAGTTTTGAAGCCCCCAAGGCCCTTCTTGAATCCAAAGCCCCAATTAATCCCACTAGGAGAGACAATGAATGTTCATATAAGATGGGTCGTTTGGCAGCTTAGAAATGAATTCAGGCGCTTCAAATGGTTGGCAAAAGACATGAATGTTCATATAAGATGGGTTAGAAGATACACTAACAGCTTGGCAGATGGTTTAGCTAAGCAAGGGGTTCAAAGACAGCATATGTATTGGGCACAATTTTTTCTTTTGTAATACAGTATTGGGTGGCTGGTTTGTAATGGGTTGCTAGTCTCTCACAACTTCTTTTTGTAATGTTTTTCTTTTAAATTATTAATGAATGAATGATTTTCTGTTTTGCTGATAAAAAAACTCTTAATGAATCTGTTCAACATTGAATTCCAAAAATTATTTGATCTTGGATTTCAGATTTCCACTAGAGGAAATCCTAAGTATTTCATAGGTCATTGACAAATTGTACACCCAAGCACAACTGCATATCCCTCTAAATCTTCCACAAGGAAAAGAAAATCAATGCGAACAGTGAAAAAGAAAGCATAAAGTTGAAGTTCAATAGTATTCACGAAATGAACTTTGGTTGTATGCACATAAGAATTAGATTGGTCTTAATATCTTTTTTCTTGCTTCTTGGTTAATGATTTTTCAGTGTAGCTACTGACAAGAAATGCCAAAACACACTAAATGAATGGGATCTTTTATAATAGGGACATGTGGCTATATTAGTAACCGTTAGTTGAAACATGCCCAACAAAAAGATATATATTCTGAAAGATTAGAGATCTTACCGATGTTATTGGAGTGCCTAGAAGTTTGTTTAAATATGACATTAATAACTGTAACCTATAGGTTGATCTTGGTTGTCAACTAACTTGGTAGGCTTTGTTGCCAACTTGATGTTATTTGTTGTTTGGTAGGCTTTTTTTTCCTATTCTTTTGCATTCAAATTGCACCTTTTGTTTTGGAATAACGATTTATTGTTATGACAATAGGATGCTAATGTGGTTGTTGATCATTTGGATCACATTAATGGTGACTACCATGATCCAAGGGACTTAAATGGAGGTTCTTCCAATGCTGCAATGGACTTTCAGAAACCAAAGCATCTCCTTGGAGATTCTTCTGTTGCTGCTTTACAAGTGCCGGACAATCAAATGCTTCAAGATTCAAATTGTGGCATGTCTTTGTTGTCTATGGCACCTGATAGTAAAGTGAAAGAGGAAGCAGATGATGGGCATCTTAGAAAAGATTCTGATTTGCTGCTTTCTTCTAGTGATACGAAGGCAGATCCAATCAAAGTCTTGTCTCAACACCCAGCTAGATGTACTTCTGAGCAGACCTCTGAAAAGTTACCTGTTCAGGGCATTGATCGAATCAACTTACCAACCAGTGACACTAAAGTTCAGGACACTAACAGGGAGTCTGAAGCAGTAAGCCATCATGATACAGATAAAGTTGCTGAAGGAACGATTTCTGCATCTGGTGAACTGTGTCAGGGCACACAAGAATTAGAGGGTTCTGTGCAGGAAGGTTCTTTTGATACCAAGGATGGTCCAAAACATGGTGAAGAGCCATCCAAGATAGATGAGGCAAACCCAAGTTCTCTAATGTCGTCCAGTCAGCGTAAAGTGATAGCAGGTCATGGAAAATCATCAACTTCATCCACTGTAAAAATCTCTAAGCCGTCTCTTTCTGGTGGGTCTAAGCCCCCAGGTAATCCTGCTCCTCCAAGGTCTATTCATTCATCTAAACATCGAGTGAAGGTGAACTCATATTCTGGTCTGAAGAAAGATAATGTTGCAACTGATGTAGCCAGGGACGAAACAAGTCATGAAGCATCGAGAAAAATGGCAAAAGACCAAAACAAAGTTTCTACCAGTTCTGGAGCAAAAACATCACAGACTAGCAGGATCTCTCATTCCTCTGTTGCGAAGCGTACCTTATCAGATTCACATCTTCAAAGCAAGATAGCTGCTTCAACGTCCTCCCAGAAAGGTGAAAAATTCAACCAATCAACTTCCCAGCCAACATCTAAGGTGAACCATTCACTGTCCACACATCCTCCAACACCAGCCAACCCTTCTGCAACATTAAGTGATGAAGAGGTGACTGCATAATTATTTTCTTTTTCTTTTTCTTTTTGTGCCATTTCTCTTGGGAGAATCTCATCTTATGTTACTAGTACAACTTGCACTATGGTTGCAACAAGAGCTCAATAATTCTCCTGTGGTTCAGGGCGCAGCAGTTGCTTCGGGCACCAGTGAATCTGCTAGCTCATTTCAGACCCAAGGTGGTGCTTTACATGTGCAAAGCAAGATTACTGCTTCAGTTTCCTCCCAGAAAGGTGAAAAGTTCAACCAGTCAACTTCGCAACCAACATCTAAGATGAACCATACACCATTGATGCATCCTCCAGCACCAGTTAATCCTTCTGCAACATTAAGTGATGAAGAGGTGAGAGAAGAATACTTTTACTATTCGTGCCTTTTTTTAGGAGTTCTCATCTACATCATTTTCTTCCTTTGGCAGCTTGCATTATTGTTGCATCAAGAACTTAATAGTTCTCCAAGAGTTCCTCGTGTACCACGTGTACGCCATGCTGGTAGCATCCCTCAACTGGCTTCTAGAACACCTACAAGCATGCTTAATAAACGTACATCTAGTTCAGGCGGAAAGGATCAGACTTCGGTATGATTTCCTCCTTTTGTACATTTGTAAACAACCAATTAAAAATTAGTCATGGTGCCTTGTGTATTTGCTACCTTTGGCAATCAGTAGGTTGTTAAATTGCTCGTTCAGGTAACTGGTCCAGTCTTTACTAAATTTTATAGGTTTCTAGGAGAAAAAACAAAGAAGATGCATCAAAAGATAACTCTCGCAATTCTCGTGAGCTTGGTGATGAAACTAAGAAGATGGAAAAGGTTCCTTCCTCCCCTGATCAGAGGAGACAGGATCAAGTATCTGCAGCAGATGGCTCTAATAAGAGGGAAGCAAGCAATAAATCTTCCGAAGTATTGCAATCTACAAAGAAGACTATGCATCTTGCAACAAGCACTGTTTCCAATGGTGGTCCTTCTTCTTCCACTGATGTCAATGACCAGAATTTGTCATCCATACGTAACTCACCTAGGGATATGTCAGATGATGATACATCTACAATTGGGGGTCCTGCTCCTCGAACCTTACCAGGTAGCTGCTTCATCTGGAGGTTCTAGCATTCCTTTTTTCATCTCAACTTCAGTTGGCATCTTACATTTTTCCCATATTCATTGATTATGTTTTCATTTTTCCTCTCCCATTCCTATGTAGGGCTTATTGATGAGATCATGAGCAAAGGAAGGCGCATGACATATGAAGAACTTTGCAATGTTGTCCTTCCGGTATGGTCACATCTTTCTGTTGGGAAAAGTCTTACTTTCCTTGCAACTATCCTTGTGTCAACTCTTCCATTCATCCATTTTTTCCTTTCAATTTGCAGCACTGGCATAGCTTGAGAAAGCATAATGGAGAGCGATATGCATATTCAAGCCACTCACAGGCTGTTCTTGACTGCCTGAGAAATCGGAATGAATGGGCTCAGCTTGTTGATCGTGGTCCCAAGGTATACATGCATGTGGAATTACTGTTACCCCCCCCCCCAAAAAAAATAAATAAATAAATAAATAAAAGAAAAGAAAAGGACAAAGCCATAGGCACACAAACAAAACAAAGGAAAGAAAGAAAAGAGGAGAAACAATGAGAAACAGAACTGTTTCTTAGATAATAAATAGCAAGATTCATAACAAAAGGAGAAGAAAAAAGTGATCACATTATAAACATAAAACTTACCCTTTTTTCTCAAAAAAAAAAACTGCTTCATACATTTTGCATTTGTTTCTCTAGTTCAAGTTTGGCAGTTGACTTTGGTTCTTCTGTTGCTTGTAACATCGCATGGTTATCAAGTGTTAGACCTTGTTTCTCTGACAGGAAAATTTCTGACACTAGAGAAAAAAAATCATAATTATTTTTTGATAAATAACATGAGTTCATTAATACTTACAAACATCAAATCTACAAAGAAACATCATGGCTGAAGAGAAAAAAATGTTTCTTCCCTATTAGAGGAATATTACACATTTACACTACTGCAATTCAGCCCAAAATAAGTGATTCCTATTCACCCGGTCACCCCTTGTTTTGCCAAAGAATCAGCCATAGCATTGGCTGATCTTTGAACCCATTACACCTGTACCTGCATTCCTTGAGTTAACCACTTTACTTTGATTTTGTTTCTATTAGTCCAAAGGGTTTTCTTCTCATTCAGTCAGTCCACAACCACCTTAGTGTCTCCTATTACAATCTTTTAAATCTTCAAGCCTTTTGCTTTTTGTATTCCTTCAATCAAGGCCAGGTATTCTGCTTAAGTGAATTCCCATCCCCTATTGGCCCAGAAAATAGAGCCTTTTATAATGCCCTTCTCATCTCTAAAATTTCTCCTTATGAAGGCCTGGGTTCCCCATGCTACTTCCATCAAAGTTTAATTCGATGAAACCTTCATCCGGGGGTGCCCACAACTTAGCATTTTTTCTCTTTTTTGTAGCTTGAATTTCCACTTCCTCTCACCATCTAACAATACCGTCATATGGATTCCTAACACGAGACAAATGAACAGGAGATTAGTAGATGTTGGCAAGTCTCATTATTAGCTTTGCAAAGGACAAACCAGTTAGGAGATGGGCACCAAGAAGGCCTTCTTTTGTACTACATCCCAGTGATTTAAAAGGTGCGCCTAGGTGCACATGCGAGGAGCATTTTAGGGTAAGCACCTGGTGTGCCTGGGTATGCGCCTTGTGCCTTAGCCCAGGTGTGTGCTTTTTTGCTTTTTTTGAACCTAGCGGCTGGGCCCGGGTGTGGCACAAAGGCGGCTCGTAGAATCAGGAATGTAATATCTTTTACATCACATTAGTTACTTGAAGTATTGCAATTGAGGAAAAAAAGAGATTATGGGTTTTACATGCTTGAATATATTTTATATGTTTGGTTTTATTTTTAAATTTTCATTTGAATATGCTTTACATGTTATGTTTATGTATTTTAATTTTAGATAATAGGTTTTTTTTAAAACATTAATTTTAAAATTTAAGTTTATATTTTTTTATTAATATTAAGTTTAATATTTTTTTATTTTTTTTATTTTTTTTATTTTTTTTGGCATTTTTTGAATTTTCTGACATTTTTTTTATTTTTTAGCTTTTTTTTTTGTATTTTTGGGCCTTGCTTCAAAAAGGCACAACCTTTTTTTTTGGGCTTGCCTTGAGGGGCTTAGTTGGGGTGTGGAGGCAGAGCCCCAACCTTTCAAAAGATGTGTTCCTGGGCTGAAGCAGAAGGCACATCAGGCGTGCGCCTTTTGAAAGTGTTGTGCCCGGTATGTGCCTAGTCTGCACCTATGCACCTTTTAAATCACTGATCCAATCATGTATCTTCCCAAAATTTTCATAAATTAAAATTCCTACAAAATTCTAATGCAAAGAAAATGAAAGAAAATGAACAATTGACCATCATTCCATGAAATTGAACTCGTTATATTCACTGGATTTTCATTGGACAGAATCTTTATATTCCCTGGAAAATTCAGATAATTGAATGTGCTAAGGTTGTAATTAAAGTACAAGACGGATAGTAACACCTGAGGGAAGCGATTTTTATTTTCAAGGGAGGGAAAAAATGACAATTGCAGCGTTTCACTATAGGAACTAGTGATGCAACTGTGCAACTCTGGCTGGGTTGGGGTCAACCTCACCCTAATCTGAGGCAAGATATTTTCAACCTTAACTCCAGGTCTAACCCAACCCGAGTCAAGCCAAGTACCTAAACATAATCTAAACTGACCGGCTTTGATTTTTAATCTCATTTGTGCAGAAATATGTGGATGGAGATTTTTTTTGTTTTTGGGAAATCAAGAAAAAGGTCAAAAACATTCTGTAGGATTTGGCTACGATAAAAATGAAGTTTTATTATCTACAATACAAATACTTAAAATAAGTCCTGGGCGTTCAGACAATTAGACCCTAAATTGGTTGTGAAGAGAACCAGGGTGGGGGTTTATTTTTTTTATTATGTTCTTTTCTCAAATCATTTGCTTGTGTGGCTCATGAGTCGTGAGGTGGAGATGGAAAAAATGGATTAGGGCTTGATAGTTAATAGTTAATAGGTAAATCTTATTTGGCCTACGCCTTGTGTTTTCTTAATTTGCTGCATACATTAAAACCATTTTAGTGCCAGATTGGACTTAATACAAGGTGGAGCCAATAAAAATTTGTGAATATGAGGTGGGTTCTGGTATTATCTAATCTGATGCCAGAAGAGTGTCTTGTCATCTGAGGAGTGCTCCAGTGTATAAAAATCCACCCAAAAAATATTTTGCTGTGAGGTTTGTGGTCAGGCTTGTTAAGAAATGGTTCAGAATGTCTGAATTGGGTGTCTCTGTCGCAGACAAATGCTGGAAGGAAGAAACGCAAGCTTGATTCTGAGGCATCTATGGCTGAATCAGAAGAAAATGAATATGGCAAGGGTAGAACCAAGGATATAGAAGGTAGGAGTGTTGATTCTCAGCGAGAAGACTTTCCCAAGGGCAAGAGGAAGGCTCGAAAGCGCAGAAGACTGGCACTGCAAGGCAGAGGCATAAAGGATGTTAGAAAGCGGCAGAAGGCTGATGCTATCACAGATGATGATATTGGTCAATTTTCCCATTCAAGCGAGGAGGGTACTGAAAACATGTTTAGCGAGGATGAGAGCCAGGGGGCTAGGATGTGTGCCATTGGAAGTGAAGCCTCTACTAGCTCGGATGAAACAGGACCTACGTAATTGTAAAAGGTGCATTTTGTCATCCCGGATTTAATTTTGCAGGTGCAGGATAGGCTACGTTTGTTGATGGGAGCCAAAACTGAAGCCTATTGGATGGTCAATGTTATGTCACCACTGATGACTGATCCACACATTTGCATCCATGACTACTTGAAAAAAGCAGTCAACTGCTCAAATGCCGGCACTATTTTATTCAGCTGGCAACCGCAGGTACCAGAAGACCCAATCTAGAAAGTACTGTTCTTTCATGATATGGTTTACTCTCTCAAACATTGAAACCGAAAGCAGTGGGTCATGATGTAATATAGCAAGCATGTTGTGTTTTAGGAGCCTGCTAGTTTCTGTGTTGCGGTGGAAATGTAATTTTAATGTAAATATAAAATGTATTTTCTAATGTAAGACTATCCATGAGAATCTTCCTTTTGAAACATGGGTAAAGCATGCATTTTCACTTTGTAAGAACACTTTTTCCCTCCAGCTGTAGTAGTTGAGAACAAGAGTCGTTGAGAGAAGCCACTATTCAATAGCAATAAAAATGTAGTTTGAGAAGTTTGTCTTATACCTTCTGCTTTTGTGAAAATTACAACTTAAAAATGTTTTATCTTCACTCGAAGCCAGCAGCTTCTCTGTGATATAGTTGTGTTCTTTCTACGAGTCTTTACCAAGGCTGTTAACATTTTGTTCACTGTTATAACCACAAATATCATCCTTGAGCAGTTGAGCTCTTCCGGATGAAACCTTTTTTTAATTCCTGCCTTGTTAATAATTGTGTGTAGTTACTAGGATTTTTTGGATCCAGTCCAAGAAGCCTTCTAGCAGCATATTCTGCCAGTTTGATATTTCCGTGCCATCCTGCAATAATTAACAAACCCCACTCCAATATTCAAGCACTGGTATGGTAGGATTCAAAGGTCAGTACATGCTGGTAAATTGAACTATTGAAGCACCTGCAGCAGCAAGAGCACGTGAAGGAATTATTATTGTCTCGGGAAATTTAGAGTTCGGTGAAAGAATTAGGCTGTATTGTATGGTGCTGGTATGATGTATGATAGGCAATTCAAAAGGCTGTAATTCTTTCAAATCATCGTGAAAGAATTGGTATCTCTTACTAAGTGTAAAAGCATATGCAAGTAAATGTTAACTATATATTATATATGATATTTGAATTTAACTTTTATGACTTGTTAGAAATTAAAGTTAAGTATCCACTTTATATACTAGAGATAAATAGATGTCTAATGGTATAGATCCCTACATGGGTGGAGAATATATCTCTATGAGAGGAAACATTTGAGTCTTTGAGATAACATAGAGAAGAATGGGAAAGGCAAATCATAGTTAATAAATGGCATCATGGCATATATATGACACGGGAAATATTTGTATAATTTGAAACTAAGTCTTAGTATGGTAAAATTTTGGTCAAATAAATATAATACGTTCAAAGATAGTCCAAATATGCATTTATGTTTTATACGTTTTCATTTAAACAGTTTAAAAAAAAAAAAGAAAAAATGTATATATAAAAGTGTGTATAACATATTAACCATATGCATGTGTACAAATAAATGGGTTTTAAAATTTTTAAAATATATGAAATAAAAACTTCCAATTTTTTGGACCAGTATTTTTTAAAATATGAATTATTCATGTATTACATTTTTATGTGAATAATATGAGTATTATACATGAATTTGCTAATTATGACGTAGGTTTTTTTTTCAATTGGACAAAATGGAAAAGGGTAAATTCCAGAGGACCCTTGTGCTGAGAGGTATAAAACTTAACCCTCTATTCATATTGTTTTTTGGTAAATTTCCTCTCGTAAGATTACTCGATGATTTCAGCCATTCAAAAATGATGTTCTGAGTGTCAAATCAACCCAAGTTCAAAGCATCTATGCGCATGAAATGTAAAAAATGGGTTTTATGCATTTCAATGTGTGACACCCAGTGTTATATTAACCTTTTCATGACAATATTTTAGCATTAGGTAAGATTACTAGTATATATGCATGTGTCTTGTTCATGAAAATTTCAGATTACAATAACAATTATTTATTTATTATACATTTTGCCATTTCATATACTCCTTATTCATCATGCTATGTTTAATGTGATGAATATATAATATTAGGTATGTAATGTTTAATATGATGGTTAAAGTGTTGAACCACTGACCTACCACCCAAGCAAAGGGAAGAATTGTTTCATTTTTATTTGAATTTAAAAACGTATTTTTTATAGTATTAGAATTATGTATTATGGCCACATAGATTTAAGGACAAAAGATTTAAACATACCCTGAGTTTTCGTAAATTGACGTAAATACATCTTAAGTTTTTCAAATAAACTTAACTATACCTTGTGACTTTTTTTACCCTTTATTTTCATTCAAATTTTCAAATTCATGTGAGTGGTGGATGCATATCTCTCTCTCTCTCTCCTCCTCCTCCTCCTCCTCCTCCTCTTCTTCTTCTTCTTCTTCTTCTTCAATACAACAAGAATATCTGCACTTTTAAATCCGGCAATTGAAAGTCTAGCCACCCAGGAAACCTCAAGTAATCTTAAAATATTTAAGATGTTTTGTTCCCTTTTAAAAGAGTGGATAAATTTCAATTTTCTATCTATAAAAGATTCTGCTCACGTATTTTGTTATTGAAACATGGATATCAACATATAGCAGAAGTTAGGGTGCTTTTCATCACTATGGTGTTTGCTTTTTAAAACTTAGTTTCTCTAGTTTGGGTTGTTTAAATCAAGGTTTTAAAAGGCTAAAGGCGAAGGTGAGACGGTTGTGTCTCATAGGGTGAGGTGTATGCCTCAAAGTGTTTTGAGGCATAAGCCTTGAGCAAAAAAAAGAAAAGGATATAATCCATAAACAATAAAGACATGAAAACATAAAATTAGGATTTTATATGGCTTGTATGATATATTAGACATGGATTCATGGTTCAAAGTATCCGTACACCCCAATATGCTAAAAGGGATATGTTGATTATTGACACTTTGAACCATGCATAATTTTTTTTAGGTTTTTTTCTAATTTTACAAGGTTAGGTTTTTATTATTTAATTTTAAAAAGGGGGTATTGGTACCCCAAATGTACAATACAATTTGAGTTAGAATCTTACCAAAGTAGTTTTTTTTTTTTTTTTCTCCTTATCAAACTTTTCAATTTAGGGATATGATCCAACATTATTTTAAGAACAAAGCATTCCTATTTTGTTTTTTGCACTAATATGCATTAGTGAAGAGTGACCATATATATGATGCATGTGCTTTAGAAGACAGAGAATATCAAGTATGAGATAAATGAGCAAATGGGAATTATCAAAAAAATAATAATAATAACTAGGCAGATGGGTAAGAATAAAGCATGAAAATTAAGGAAAACTATTTTCTTACACATCCTATATGCATTTTTGTGTTATTTGTATGTTTATTTATTTGCTCATTGTTGGTGTATAAAAAAAAAGAGAAAAAAAATAATAACAATAAACAAATGAATGAGGAGAGCTCATGGAAAGGATTGAATGGGTTGATGTCTCAACCCAATGGATGTGAAATTAAGTAGGGCACGTTGGGCCTAATGGGATGGAAGGTTTTAGTGGGACCCAATGTATGGACCCTATAATGTATTGGCCCAAGGTGTTGGAGTCCAACATGAATTGAAGAAAATAAACAATAAACAATAAACAAAAAGAGGGGGGGGGGGCGGCAAAGAAATTCTGGTTGGATCTTGACCGATCAAATTACCCATGAGATGTTATTACACCTAGCTGCCAAATGGCCTATTCACAAATGATTTCTCAATCAATTCAACATGGTCCCTTAGATCAATTCACTTGCCATTTCTTTCTAGAGAATATCATTTAATTGTCGGATCTCAATGGCATCCAATTTAATGTAATTTAAGAATGAATGTTACAATTAATCAATTGGATTTCCTTTTATGTGTAGGCCTAACCATATGCCAAGTGGCACTTGGTTCTAAGTATAACTAGGGATTAAAATCAACTTCATTTAAAGGACGTAATTACCTTAATCAGGTCAACAAAGTGATCATTGATATGCCAATTTAGTGGCCCCCATTTCAATCAACATTAAATAGTGATTAATTGAATTGAAACCATTCAAATCAATTCAAATCTTTCAAACTAGCTCTTCGTCTACTGGTGAGCCTATATAAATAGAGGA